CCACCTCAAATTAGTAGTGGCTTGCCCCTATCCATCATACCTTTCCTGTTGTCAAGTTCCCCTGTACAGTATACTTCTCCTGTTAGCAATAAGTTTTGAATTGAAATAACGTGACTTCGTATATAGTTAATCGGGGCCTCCTGTCTTAACCTAAGCTGTCCATATATTGTCTCGGCTTTTAACTAACTCCATTCTTCAGATTAAGGAAGGGCAGACAGACAGTGGACAGACGGACCATAGCCCAAACTGTAGCCCAAAAAATGAATTCTTGTTGGTTTGTCCATTATACAAATCTTTATTTTTAAATCGATATGGACCAAAGTTTGTATGAATATTACTNTATATAACTCCATTCTTCAGATTAAGGAAGGGCAGACAGACAGTGGACAGACGGACCATAGCCCAAACTGTAGCCCAAAAAATGAATTCTTGTTGGTTTGTCCACTATACAAATCTTTATTTTTAAACCGATATGGACCAAAGTTTGTATGAATATTACTTAGACCCTAGAATCGACACTAAGCTATATATAACCGAAAATATTGGGATAGTATATAACTTACATGCCTTTACATGTAGCGCTATCTGTTGGCAAAAATGATTGTTGTTGGTTTTTTGGTTTGTTGAAGAATAGGCTAATTTAGCAATAATCTATAAATAAATGAATTTTAACCGATTTTGAAAATTTTATGGAAGAAAAGAGCTTCAGTTGTCCATGAGAGTGCAGAAGAGAAAAAAGGTCATCAAGAAAGTCTTGAAGATCGTGCAGCCCGTCTTCAACAAAACTGCTCGAGAACGTTTTAGTTGAGGGCCGAATTTCCATATCCAAGTACAACTTTCAGGAACTTGCACAACGTACAAGTTAATCGATCCCGTTTTCGAGGCAGACCAGGCAGTACCCAGTACTAGGCAGTAAAGTTTTTAAACTTCTTGGAACCAGCAGTACTAACATGTCAGAACCTAGAACTAAAGGATACAGCACCAGTAATGTTTTTGCGAAATTTGGACCCATTAAAGTTATACTATGGGACGAAAATGATCTATTTATCTTTGTCCCGCTAGCTCGAGAAGTTTTCGTTTTTTGCAGTTTCATTATATAAATACTCAGGTCAATAAATACAGATTTTAGTTGCTAGAACCATGGTTTTTATCACCCTGTCCCAATTCCATACCTCTTTCAAAACCCGAGTAACGTCACTAGTAATTAATAATATATAAACTTTTTAAATAAAATATCATAGCAGATGGCGCCACATAATTTTAACTCTTGCTGGGAAAGTTATGCAACTCGTTGCTAGATTTTTTACTAAAGTAGTTAATTCCCAAAGTGGCACTGCTTCCCCGTTGATGGTGGTGTAGAAAAGTCAAGTATAAAGTTACTCAGTGTATAACTTATCTTTTTAATAAATTAAAATATTTAGCAATATATTAACAATAAATTTAAATAAAATATAAGATAAAATGATTATTGTTTGTGCTAATGTATTCATTTTATAAATTCTCTTAACGAATTGGGTCACTTTGTACAGTATTTTAGATAAACAACATTCAAGTTTCCTGCTCTTAATTTTTATGTTAATTATTTAACAATCTAGTATACAAATTTAGGTTATTTTAAATGTTAAATTTTAAAAATTTTAAGCTTTTTTAAGCTTTATTTTCATTTCATAATCCATTATCACATAATCCTCTTACATATAGTAAGCTATTCTGTAATGTATACAAGTGTATTACATTATATTCATTAAATTGAAATCCTTAAGTCACAGGTAATTATGTATGATAATTAAGGTTAAGGTTGGTAATTTATATATCAATTAAAATTCTAAATGAATAATTATCTGAAGAAAATGTAGTACGAAAGGAAGAATTAGGTTCATGAACCATATTATGACATAGAACGGAAGGAAGAAAAAAAAAAGGAAGAGGGTTGCTGATTAGAATTATCTACACCCTCTTTAAATCATTTTGCAATTTAAATAATGTTATAGTTGAATTCTTATTACAAAAATGCGATGTACTTCAAACCCGGAATAAAGATGATAAAAAATGTTTTTATTCAAGATAATATGTTGTTTTTTTTTACTAAAGTTTCCAATAAAAAATAATAAATTTTTCACTAAAAAAATGTATTTTAATTTTATAAAACTTATTAATAAATTAAAATTCATTAAAATTTTGTGTACAATTTTATAAATCGTATTAAATACATTTTAAAAATGTATAAATACGGCCAAACCTCACAACAACAGCCATATCGAAACAGCGGCCATTTTTTTTTACAGATCGTTTCTTTTTAAAATGAGTGCAAGAAAATCTCTAAATGACGGCCACTTTTTATGTGACTATTATTCATAGGTTTGACTGTACTATAAGCTTACAGTTATATATATATCCTATTTACGAAAACTCGATCAACTGACTTTTGGACCACCCTATGCGCTTTTTCATAAATTTTTTTATAAAATATATTTTCTAGATAAAAATTCTTTATACGTTTATAGCTGTATATTACATAGAATTTAACATATATTATATGTATATACTTTTCCTCCCTACATATTTATGAGATATGCTTTATACTTCTTCCTCATACATATTCCCAGTTTATTGTAAATACAGATCAGTTTTAAAATACTAGTATACAATGTTATGATGTAAAATGCCATATTTCTACTTGAAAGGCTCTTACCAATTTTGGTTCTCACAAGGTCTTCCTTGTAATCAAATCTTAAAGAAGAAAAATATCTACTTAAGAACTAAAGTGCTTGTTCTTTTATCAAAGTTTGAACCGTTCGCTAATTATAGATTCAATCTAACTCTTTTGCCTCCTCTGCGCTGACCTGAGAGCTATTATTAATAATAAAAAAAAATGAATTAAATTAAAAAAGACTTGAAATTTTACTTTCCAATGGCGTTAAAGAACCTTGAAAGACGACTTTACTGTTAAATTTTCAAGTAATGATGCAAATATCGTTTACATGTAAATTTGGGTGTGAGGTCATAGAGAATAAGTTAATTGATGAAAAAATAACAAAATATAAATGTGACTCAGATTTTATCTTTTACACTTATTAATTATATTTTAAAATTTTATTTTAATTCTCTTTTCTTAAAAGTCTTTAAATTTCCTACTTTAGGCTGGTAAAAAAAAGTTTTTAAGAGGAATTTTTAAAAATATAATTTCCTAAATTATACAATTAATACCGTTTATAAATTATATATAATATTAATTATTGAAAGCTATCAAAAAATATATAATAAATATAATTAGCTACTTAAAACAAAGCACACAAAGTGGCTTAAAAGTCAGTTAACCTTGTTTTTCTGTAAGTAATTCAGTAATTTAGCAAACTTTACATGTAATAAAGTATTTAAATGATTCAGTAATTTAGCTTTTAAAATGATCAACTGACTTTTGGGCCAGCCTGTGTATAACTTTTAATAATTATTCTGTATAGCCTTTGTTTTATGTTTATTAATTATAATTAAAAAATTTTATATTTAATGTTTTTATTACAGTTGTTTAATTAATATTTTCCAATAGCTTCAATTAAATTTTAATATTAAATATTAGTTACATTGAATAATTTTAAAGTATAAATTATTAATTTCTAATATTTTAATTTTATTTTAATTTTACATGTTTTATTATATTATTATTATTATAATTTTTCTAAGGAATATTTTTATTCTTAGATCGAATTTCACGGAAATAAAATAAAATGGCGTGAAATGGCCGTTAGACGGGTGTTAAGTGTTTTATATCAACTAATGAAAGAAAATTTGATTTAATAATAAAATAAAATAAAAATTAGGAAATAAACATTTATAAACTTACTTTTATATATAATTAATCAAAAGAATGTAAAATAAAAAATGTTTACTTATTATTTTAATGAATTAGAACACTTTAATGACATAAGGACGATGACGAAAATCGGCTACTAAAGTTGACTGACCCCTTTTTTTTCAATAGAAATTAAATTGTTCCTTTTCTTAAATTATCCCCAAAAATATTCAAACTGAAGTATTTAAAAAAAATTAATAAAAAAATTTTTCAAATGAATTCCTCATAAATTTACAATAAGTTAGTTAAACCTCATAAAGTAACTTAGTTAAAAGTGCGTTATTTATCAAATTAATACGCTAAAAACGGTGTATATATATTAATTTTTTCTTTAAATGTATTAAGGAAAATATAAGTCAGCTGTTGCTACAGTTGTGATATAATAACAGATATAAATTCCTGGCATTCCATCAATGAATGGAACTTGATACCGCCGCAAAACGTTATCGCATACACCTAACTCTGTTAAACGTTTACTTTAGTCACGAACGTTCATTAATCACACCTGGGTAAATGAATGAAGAAAACCTAAGGCATTAATTTAATCAAAATTGAAATTATCTTATTAAACTAGAATTGTGATTATCTTCCCACTTTTTTGTGATTTATTACTTGCTAGAACTCATACAAAGTTATGAACGTTAGAAACTTATTTTTAATGGGTTGTAGCGCATTAAATGTTTATCTTTGCTAAAGGTTTTTGTATATACAATACACGGGCTAAACCGGCGATGTTAACAGTTTAATTAAATTAATTCATAAATTTAAATAATTATTTAAGTTATAAAGAGTATTTAAAAATTAATATATTGTTAAAATAGTAATACAAAAATTAACTTCGGGTTTAAAAGTTTTTAGAAAGATTTTTTAAACATATGTCTTCGGTATACCTGCCGTTGGAGTGTTAACGCGCTAATTAAACGGTAACGTATAAGAAATGCGCTTAAACTAAGAAAGAATTTATTAAATGATTTAATAGAAAGGAAATAGTAGAAGGGTGGGTGGATTAACGGAAACAAGAATTTACGTCGGATAAAATAAGGAAGTCGATAAGAGTAGAAAATATCGAAATAAGTCATTTTCTCGTTAATTATCTCTAGTACTAAGAATGTCCGCGGGAGGGTGCTGACGCAGGGAAATAGAATTACACAGAAAAGCGAGGTCGTCTGCTGATTATATACAAATCTCACCTGTTATCGTCTGCTTTACAGCGGTTTGTAACAAGCGTTTCGTAAAGGAACGTAACTTTTTTTTTCTTTCGTTTAAACAAAATCCCTTTATGTAAATTACTTTATGTAATTTGGTGTTACAATTAATTATAATTAAGTATATAATAATGAATGTTTCGTTAATAATTGGAGTCTTCTTCGTTGTATCGGTGTGTACGACGTTAGCACAGTTTTGGGACGTAGAGGGTGACTTTTGTAAAACTAGAAGACCCGAGAGTTGTTGTAGGAATAGAGACGATGCGTGCACCGTACCAATTTTTGGCACTTTGTGTTATTGTGACCAGTTTTGTAATAGAACTAGCGCCGATTGTTGCCCAGATTTTTGGCCTGTGTGTTTAGGAGAACCTCGTCCACAGCCAATTGTTAGAGACAGTAAGTGCTTTTCAATTATTATAACTTATTATTTTAATCATGAATTTATTCTAATATGTATTTATAATTAATAACACATAACAGAAACAAGCTCTTAACAACATTATAAAACCAATACAAAGTTCAATACAGCTTGATAAATAATGTTCTACTGGAATTTATTTTATCCTAAGACAAACAAAAACATCACATTTTTTTAGTTTCATTCATTTTTTTAAATAATTTAATGGTTATCCTTAATTATTAAAGCAATGAAACAACTCGACTCCAGTTTAAGAACATGACAGTTTTTCTGTACAACTTGTACAGAAAAAATTCTCATAAACTGTTTGGGAAGGCTGCTTAAACATTTTGTGAGGATTAAATATCCAAAGAATTATCTTAGAAGAAATAGGTTGGGAGGAAAAACGAAGAATAAAAAAAAAGAGAGAATGTTTGCTTCTTTCTATTCAATCTATTCATTGTCTCCGTCTTTTCTTGGTGCTCGAGAGGGAGAAAAGAAGTAGAAAAAAGAAAAATATATTTTGTACGCGCCTACAGTGACGTCAATTTAAAACTGGAAACTTTTGTTCCAGATTCTATAAAAACTGGCATGTTTTAGACTACATATAACTTTTAAAACGTATCATTAACGAATTTTTCACATATTTTTCGTTAACCTTAATAAATTTATACTTGAAAAAAGAGAATTGACAATGCTTAGTTAAGTCATTGTATAACTTGTAATAAGTCTGTTTTTATAATTGAATACAAATACACATACACACACGTATATAAATAAAGTTTGTTGTAGGATTATATTACAGAAACATTGATACTGTATTGGTTTATACACTAGTTAGGCGTATTCATCTGTGTAGAAGTATTTTTAAAATTTGAAACAAGAAGGTTTTATTATGATCAGACAGATGTACAGTATATTTATCAACTTATATAGTTTAAAATGTTCGAAACATTAATTTCTTAATTTTTAATCGATGATTTGTTCGACATTCATGCAATCTTTCGTAATTGTTTTCTCATAAAAAGGAGTAAAAGTAATGTGCAAAATACTTTCAGTATAAACATTTGAATGGCAAAAATCTTATTTTATATTGAATTTTCGAATTTTATGGTATATTTAGTCTAATTATTCTATTTTAACCTTTATCATAGTATTTTTATATTGAAAACGAAAAATTAAACTGGAAGATCTAGTATAGTTACGCTGTGTGATTCTTACGAGGAAGCTTAAATCATTCAGATACAAAAATAGCAACGTTTAATGTCCGGTCTTGAATGCCTGTCTATTGTCTTTCATCTCGTTGATATTCTGTATCGAAGATATTTTAATAGGAAATAAGTAATAAATTCAACGTTACTTCCTCATTGTTTAAGTCGTATGACATTAACACTGATATTTTTGAAATAAAAACTTTATAAATGTTCTGAGAATATTAATTTCCTCTTTTGTTGAGTCAGCATAGAATTGCATTTGCCTAGAGTGAGTTTTATTACTAAAATCATAATAGTACGATTGCTACATTTAATTTTTTTTTTAAGTTTTATTGTCGTATCTTGCTGATAATAAAATTAATGTTACAAAATGTTATCATTGTCATCCTTAGTTATTTCAGTAATAAAATTATCAATCAATGACGTAAACAATGATGATTCATCTGAAATTATAAACGTCCAAAGACTTTCGGTAATATCACCTTCCCTTTGAATGACGTTGTTAAGCAGGTTAGAATAGTGAATGATTGTACAGGTTGTGTAAAGAACTTTCTACGCGTAACCTAATATAAATATGCAATTGTTATATCACGAACAAAATGATAGTTCAAAAATTTCCGGTTTTTACCTCCGATTGAATTTACACATTTTAATTTCTGATCTAAATACATTATTGTCCTATTTCGGTATTAAATTTTTGTTTATTAATGACGTTTTCTTAATTATAATTGACTTTATTATCGCTTCTTTTTAAGTTTGGAAAAAAAAGGAATTGTTTCAGTTTGTAACTAGAACATAAGGACTTTCAACTTACGTACTTAACTGTAATGCTTTACTAGAATTCATTTTATCCCCAAGGCAAATATTAGGCGACCTTCTACCGAAGGACACGGTATACGTCGATCGCACAATTTAAGCATTGTAACGAGTCCAGTAGCATAGCATCGGGAAGAGTTGAATGAACTTAGGCCAGATGGGACCGGTCCGCTCTATGACCTCACCTTTCTTACCTTGAGATTTTCTCATCAACTTAGCACTATTGTTTCATTTACAGTTTCGTAGGGGATTCCCCTTAGATAACGGATCCCAATCCGATTTCTTCTATTTTAACCTTGAACACGAGTGCGAATTCTTTAATTCATCGAATGGGGTTGATTATTGAATAGATTCATGTTATGTAACTTATTGTTAGCCTTTTATTATTATGTTTTTCCCTTTCAAGATCGTTCAATTTGGTTATTATTCTATCAAAAATAGTTTTATTAAAATAATGAAAATTTCAATTTTGAAAAATTTCAGTAAACAATCAAATTTGTGTTTTTCCCCCCAAGAAAATTTCTATGCAGACAATAGAATACGCATAAATTTCGAACAGTATTAGAATTAGAATAGAATAAAATTCGAACAGAATAGAATTATAATTAATAATTTAAATAAGTATTTTTCGGCGTAGTTCTGTTTCAACGAATTTATGGTGATTAGTTCGAAATTTAATTATCTTTATGTAAATTTTTATATTATTCAAATACAGAATTGAACAGATGGAAAAGTTATCCGGATATTCATTTTCAATATTACAGCCGGTGTCCTTTTTTGTACCCCTTTTCCCTGAATATAAGAGCTTTATTAATAGCCGATCTTCCACTTAAAATACTTAATGTATCTTACCTCTACACAAATAGGAACCACTCGTCATTTTTGGCATCAAATTTTTATCTTATCGATGATTTAATACTTTAATTGAAGATACTTCATAAAATCTACTTAATTTGATAGTTTAAAAAAAAAAAAAAATTTTAGTTCTTCCGCATAAAATTGTGTAACTTTATCAGTAAGTTATTTAAAATTTAGGGTGAACAGCACACTATCCCTGTAACCTGTAATCGGTAGAATTAAAAAATAAAAAGAAAAAAAAACAAAAAAAATAAGGTCTCCTCCCACGTGGGTGTATTCACCTATTTATAATGTGATCATTTCCGGTTTATATATTACGGGATGGCAAGTAACATTATAATTTTACTTAATATACCTTCAGGATAATTCTGTAAACAGTAGCAATAAAGTAATCGATGAAATATCAATATATTCAAGCATTGTTTATGAACAATTAAGCGTTCGTTCACCTGATAAATCAGGTTATTGATATGCTATCCAAGAAGCGTCAATCATATCAAGAAGTTTGTTAATCAATTTAGGGAGGGGAAATTTCTCGGAATTTCAAGTACTATTGACACGCGACAGTCATAATTTCGTTATTTTTCCCATTTGGCCTCAAAGCTTCTACATAATTCAATTTAAGGATCAAGGTTATCTAGTAATTGATGTTTTGACTTATAATGGGACAATAACTAATGGGACATTGAATAGAAAAGATGTTATTAATGTCAATGTAGAAAAGTATATAAATGAGATATTAAATGACACGTTTTTATTTTTATACAGAATGCTTTCATGAAGGAAAGTCATACCAAAGTGGGCATAGCTATCAAGTGAATTGCAATAAATGGTAAGTCATTAAAAATATTCTTTGTGTTGTACAGAAAGTTGGAAATTAACATTTTTTTTCTTTTCATAAAAGATAATATTTGAAATGTAATTTAATAACCTCATTGGTCATTTTTAAGAAGAAAGCTTTTCATAGGTAAAATAAATAGCCTAAGGTTTATTAAGTATCATCTTGTAACAAATGTAACAAACAGGTCAATAGAATTAGATTAATCTCACGGTATTCTATATGCCAAACTTGTTCCAAATCTTCAATAGAGATTAATTCTGATATAAAAAGTTTTACGTTTGTTGTTCTGCCCACACAAACAAGTTGGTCTTCCTGTTTATGTTCACACTCGGCCAAGAAAGAAAGAGGTTGAATTGTAATAACTAAATGGACTGTAGGCCGTTACCCTTTCGGACCATTTGGACAAACGAAATCGTTTTACCATTATTCTAGATTTAATATATGTAAATAGAACGATCTTAATCGACATATAGAGGTTTCTATTTGTTTAAATATAATAGTAATTGATAAGAAATTTATTATTTAGTCACACGTGGTCCAGTTACTATTAAACGGAAGTGCTGAAACATTAGTATATTATAATTAAAACAATTAATTCGTATTAATTGTTTCATTGATGTCTGTTTACATAATTATTTCACGTTTTCTAACGGTTTTACAGAATTATTTCCTAATTATTAATAAAAAAGTATACATAAATTTCTTAAATATAATTTATAAAATTTATAAATTTAAAATATTTATTACATAAAAAGTTTTTATACACATTGAATCTTTATAACGTTAAAAGGAAAGTATTATACTTAATTTTTGTTTGTTCTGAATTACAAACATTAAAATATAAGGATTACATTACATGAATAATCTCATATCTGTCGGTGATATGATGGAGATGTAAAAAAAAGTCATTGAATTTGTTCCTTCAGTTATAATAATACTATCGTTACGTATCTGAAAGCTTGCTAATGATTTGAAATATCCTCTTTAATTTTGTAATTAAGTAATTATCTATTCAAACATACTGCATTGTCTTCCTGTATAGTTTTTAAATAATTATTGTGACTTTAAAATTATACACATCCAAAAACTGTAGTTGGACGGTTGCATGCCTACATATCTTCGGATATATACCGAGAAGCCGGATATAGGAAAAATATGTATAATGTTCTGTTTATTTTTTAATAATAAGAATTACAGTAATTATGATATGTAATTAAGCTATAATGAATGATTTACATTTGTAGAAAAGTCTCGATTTTTTTCATGCCATATCCTGAGAAATCTAATCCTGTTTTAGTTTTTTAAATATATTGATAGTTTAATATTAACAAAATTTTCTATAGACTGACATCATTTATTAGGCTGCATTTTCAAATTTCACACCTAAACATGCCCACTGCCGTCCGTTTGTTTGTCTGTCTTTCCCTAATCTCGAGATAGATAGATGAAAATCGATCCCAGATATGGAAAGCTTAGGAGCAGGAGGCCTGATTAACTATCACAAACTTCCGGTCTGGACGGGAAGTCACATGATTTTTAATTTAAATATGATTAAAAATTGCAACCCAGCATTGTGTCGATGTCACAATAATGCACATCCGAATTTTGCTTCCATTTTTGCTATTGTGATTAAAGTTAATCTTTAATCTAAGATTTCATTTATTTCTTGACTGATTTAGTATTTTTTCCCTACTAAATTATATATAATTATTCTAATATAAACTGAAATTCTATATAAAAATGATCTTATTTCATTTCTTTTCATCTTATTTTGCTAATATTTTAATGGCAAGATATCTATTTATTATTTTCACACAAAAATAAGTCAGTCAGTTTTTTTTAGCTTTATCTAAATATAGAATCTACTACATTATCATAGCTAAATAATTTATAGTAGATCTATAAAGCAAAAATATCCGAAGAATTAATGCTTTAATTAAAAATAATCANCCGATGGGATTTGGCATGATAAGAAGAGGATTCGGGAATGAATGGTGGTTACTCCATCGAATAGTCCACTACCGATTCTTATATTATCGTGCACTTGTAATAAAACATATGTAAAAATTAATAAAAATTAATATACGGAGTGCCAGAAATCCTTCGATATAACAGCCATTAGCGGTGCCAAGAATGTAAATTTTATTTTTATATGCAACAGCAAACTTGGGTTTTTAAACCTGTAACGTAGTATATTTTTTAGTTTCTGCATGTATTTATTATTAATAAGCGTACTTCAGCACGACACACGGCAAAGCAATGCAAGTGGCTGCTATGTCGAAAGACTTCTGGATTACCAGTAATTAAAAGTTTACCGATATTTAAATAATTTAAAATAAATTCGATAATGTCTTTATTAATAGATGTTTTTGATTTACACTGTTAAGAAGTAGCTAAGTGTGCTTATATCAGTTGTATACTAAAATATAGTTTTATTTATAACGCTATAAAATACAGTTTATATAAATACTTATTTTATATATTTTATAATAAGTTATATAAATTAAAATCCAGCAACGAGTTGCTTAACTTTTCCGGCAACGTTTAGTGGCGCTATCTGTTATGATATTTTATTTTTAAAAACTTTTTATATTTTTAACTATTATAAATTGGAAAAAAGCTTAATTTTGAGGATGGGGATGGGTTTTATAAAAAATTTTAAATGCTAATAACGAGTAAAATCGTCACTAAGTCTGATCTTACTAGAGATATACGCGTTCCCCTTTATCTCTCCACCCCAGCGACCTTTAATCACCAAAATTTAAAAGACTCAATCCCCTAATAAACAAACCTCCATGCAAGATTTCAGAAATTTTCGACAAGAAGCACAGAAGTTATTAAGCTTCAAAGAGGTTGAACAAAATTCTGCCTCCCACATACAAACATCCGTACATAAAAAAATTACTCCCGAATTTTTTAAAATAAGTTTTATTGATCACATTATAAAATAATATGAGGAATAGAAATTTGTTTATTAGTTATAAAATATAAAAATTTCATGTAAAATGAAGCAATTAAAATTATGTTTAAATGTTTTGTGAAATTATAACTTAATTTTATTAAAGTTTTTTAAGTTTAATAATTGAAATTTAAAAATATTCTTTGTAACAGCATTATGATTATTATAATTGATGCACTTCAGTTTACGTCATTTAAGTTCTCTATCATTGATTTTAGTTTCGAATTACATTATAGTAGATTTTGTCCTTCAGTTTCATAATCCCAATATAGTTTTCAATAATAAGTTTTTTCGCATAGTTACTAAATCATTGATTAATTTAACTTCATTATCAATCACTTAGTATAATTGATATCGTATTTCATACGATATCAATTATATTAAAGCGACTGTACACATTTTTAGGCCTTAACATTGTGACATTTTCATCAATGTTATAACATTGATGAGGAAGTCACAGAGCCAGTTCAGTGGTTTTATAAGAGAATACTATTCTTTTTACAATTTTCTAAGAAATATCTATGATTGTTTCTTATATAAATGTTTCATATGTTTATTATATTTTGTCATAAAATTTATTTCAGTGATTACTTCTGAATCTTTCCTTCAATAAAAAATGCAATATTCATTTTTTAAATATTTATTTTTCTCTGTGATTAAATAAGAATTTTATAGTATTTTTTTATAGAAAAGGGCTGGCAGAATTACAATTTAATAAAAAGTAAAATACATCTGGATACGAGTCCAATTTTGTTTGCCATGTCCAATCACCAGGAACAACTATTTCCATTGCAGAGACAACCTTTCTTTAGAGGCTATAAAAAAATAATTTTATAATTCATATAGTTTATTTATCTTGGCGATCATATTATTGAATATGAAACATGCATTAACAATGAAATCAGTTTTAAAAAATAGTAGGCCTACTGTAAATATCTTTTTATCTCGACTATACCATTAAAAGTAAGTTAAAGTTGTAACTTCTTCTAAAATAGATGATGAATTTTTAAAATTAAGATATGAAGAGTATCCAAAAATGACGGTTTCTTACGTTTTCATCTCACAAAAGACTCATATCTTCATCAAAAACATTTATCAGAAAATAGAAGGAACTATTCCAATAAATTCAAGCTATTTGCTGTTCAATCTTTTATTTGACTGTCATCCTCTACATATAAATTTGTGAAAAATATATTTGACTCTTTTTTCATTCCTTGTTACAATGAATGTGTTTATTTAATATTTTTCACAAATATACCGACCAAATAATCTGAGTCTTCTTGAGGTCCTTCAAACTGGAAAACTCGTATTTGATCCGCGCTCTCGTGATTTTTCATGGATAATTCGGATGGTGACATTGTTTCCATTTCTTAAGTAGCCTGTTCTAGTATTCTTGCAGATTAGACTTGTGTTAACTCGACAAAATTGATTCTGATCTATAGACTATTACACGTTAATGTTTCGGTCAAAGGTTGGATTAAATTTATCCAACCTTTTCTGGTGATGTCTTGAGCGTGGAAGAAGCATGCAGAGTAACCTCATTTGAATAACCCATTTTTTGACAGTGTCTAGCATCCTTTTCCTTTGAATATTTTAACCGGATAAAAATATTTCATAGTAATTTTCACACAGTCTACTATTATGTAATTTAAACTGTGCCACTATCTTCCATAGGAACCGATGGGATTTGGCATGATAAGAAGAGGATTCGGGAATGAATGGTGGTTACTCCATCGAATAGTCCACTACCGATTCTTATATTATCGTGCACTTGTATTCAGTATTGCGATAAGTTAGCTCAGGTTCAATAAGTAGACTGGGTCTATATGAATAATCTTCAGTAGAAACAGCTAATCTATAAGTCGATTCTTGATAATTATATTTACTCCAGTTAATTGTTTATCTTAAAAATAATCTTTAGTTTAAATGAAAAAATGCCTATTGCCATGTGATAGAAAAGAAATGACTAGAGACAAGTAGAAAGGCATTATCTTTCTATTTTGGAGAACGTGTTTCGAGGTCAGATAGGATC